CATATGATGTCTTAGCAACAGGATCGGTGAGAAAAGCTGAGGTATTTTAAGTTATCCTTGTATTTACAACCCTCTGAGCTCATTCCAATACGTACTTTTCACATTTCATACTAGAATTCCTCGCTTTACTTTTGTATTCTGAACGTGGTGGGGGACAAGATATAACAGGTATTCCTATCTGGTCTTCAAAATAGCTTTGAAAGGTCCCCAAAAAATCCGCAAATCTTAAGCAACTGCTGCTTTGTTATCACTCTTAAATTTGAGGTCACCGTTTACTGTGACTCGTAAATCCTTACAGTTACCAATGTTATATAAATGAATTTGATTTCTGATGTAATTATGCAAACGATGTGCATTACAGTACTTGTGCTATTACTTGCCCTCAACGACCACCAAATCGTCCACTCGTCCGGAGGGCTCATATAAACTTTTAACCCTTTTTTATCATTATTGTATTCCAAAACTCTCAGATGTAAGTTATTAATAGCTTGCCTCGATCTTCGAGTTTCATTTAGTATGGATTTTGGGTTATTGTAAAGAACACTGAGAGACAAAGTTATCTTCATAATTTTGTGGGTGTTGCTGCTTTAGATTTCTAAATCATTATAATGTTTCACTTAACGTGAGCGCATTCAATTTATTGTGCAGCAGTTTAAATTAATATCGGTTTGACTATTGCATATTACAGAACTTCACTTCGCTTGTAATAATATAATACTATTGTCAACGTGTCTGTTTTTCCATGCTGCAATATTCTATACAATGTCATAGAATATGGTTTTTCCTCTTCATTTTAATTATTTACAAATCCTTGGGTTAATATATGTCGTCCATTTTGATCTTGGTGCCACAGCGTTCTCATCAATCTTTGTTCAATTTGTTGTTTGGAGCTGATCATATTCTTCTGGACTAAATGAGTTACTTATTTCACTTGTTATTTGCATCAAATTACGACTATTCGTAATGTGAATAAGTTTTATAATAAAGTGGTCTTTGAGTTAGATATGTCGCTAATCATGTATTTTAAGCTGTTTCAAAATAGTTCCCATGTAACTGATTTTTTAGTTTGATATTTGTATTTTTCTATGTATGTTCATGCCGTCAGTGTTTTGCTTTCCAAAATATGTTCCATTTTTTTATCTGTCCCTTAATATTTTTGAATCAACACTTTAAGATGCTTAGCTTATGTTACGTTTTAAAGGGAACGATCGTCACTGTAGCACAGTACTCTTTTTATGAAATTTGAACCTCTAGTAGTTTTTCGATTTCTTAAATTTTAAAGAAAACCTATTTTTGCGTGTTATCATCTGTTTTGTTAAAATTTAGTGTGAAGGTGTTTTTTAACTATAGTAAGCTAAGAAGTCTCGCGTAGTAGGGCATAAATGAATCTCTTAGATTACTTTTCAGCACTATGATCTTGGTAAAACAGGTTTCAAGCGTGTTTTATTCATAGTCTCTTCAAAACTAGTTTTAAAATCGTCCTAGAAGCGTAATATTCCATCTTTAGAACTAGACGTTTTCATAAATGCCTTAAATTTTGATAGGTTTCGATGTGCCTTAAACGTTTGCTACCTAAAGTGAATAATTGTCTTTTAATAAATGACCATCTGGTCAAATATTATCGTTGTTGATTGAACTAAGTTTTTAAACTGAGAATTCACTACTTTGTTGTATCTTCTTATCATTTCTACTTCTAAAGAGAATAGATCAAGCTTTCCAAAAGCTTATTTGAAACTTTTTAAGTCAAATGCACCAGAAAATCTCATCAGTGTACATCTAAATCAGCAGTCAGTAATATGTGATCCAAAAGTAAGTTGATGGTCACACAACTAATCATTTCTCTCACTATTAATACTAGGGTGTTTTAAAAGATATAAGGCATATTGTGAAAAGGTAATCTATGTCAAATGCTTTCTTATTGGTAAAAATAAGTGGCGTGCAATACGACACACGTTTTTGGGCGTAAAGCGTTATAATTATCATTATGTTATAGAATAAAATTCAACAGTTGAAAACTGAAAATAATCAGCAACACGGTCGAAATAAGCAAAGTGAAATATCTAAAATCGTATCAACTCTATGATTAACAGAAATATAATGAATTACTGGATCTATGCTACAAAGATTATTCTCGAATCACGTCATGAAGTCCCTAATGATAGACAGTTAATTCAACCACCCGGTGTTCACCTGCCTTCACGGTTCAGATTATCTGAGTTTACGTCGTAGTTTTGCCTCCTATTCATGTGAAGGACTAACTAACTCAAAAATAAATCGAATACTTCCTTAAAACTCTGTTTTATTACTAAACATTTTAAACATATAAGGGTGTCATATTTAATAAAGACCGATATGTTTGGTGGCTAAAAGGTACATGTTAAAGCTTTGGAACCGTAACTCAGTATAACGTCACCTAAAATTCTTTGGTATGACACATATGCTCCCCAAAACATACGAAAGTAAATTATTACATTTTAGTTTGATGTTAGATTGAACAAAAGAAGGAGCAAAGTTAACAAAAAAATGAAAACTGTTGCTGATAATCACAACACATGTCGAATAAAATTTATAACCGAGTGGTGTATTTAAATTTTCCCCTTATTTGACTAAGAGCTTATCCTGTTGACTTCGATTTGATTGCTTACTATTGATCTTTAACCTGTCATTGACTGCTTCTTTATTTGGACTGTGTCGCTCTCTGATCTTATTCTTGATCTTATATTTATCCATGAATCTTCTGATAGATTGAATTGATTTCGATTTATTTATTGACTGCTGATTGACGTAAGTGACAAGCTTTCAACAACTCCTGGGTGTTTGTAGTATTCCTTCCACCGAAGATTCCAACATTTCTCCAGTCGAATGTGCGTTTACAATTCTCCATATGCTTTGATATAAGCCAAGATCTTTCCTGGCTTTTGACCACTAAATGATGTTCATACATGTAAAGATGAAGATGGCGTCCACTTTGTCGAACGTAGGGTTTGCAACAGTTTATTGTGGATGATGCTCGGTTTTCTCCTTTCGTCATTTTATCCCTTGGTTTGAATAAGATTGATCAAAGAGATTTTGCCGATTTATGCGTTTTATCTGTTCCAAATGGTTTCAATAATCCCGTTATTTGTCTTCTAAATTCAGTAGGATCATTCATTGTTTTGATTTTCATCCTTGGTTTCATTTCTGCTGGTTAGTTTGATTTATATTTTTTGGCGAAGTTGAGTAAATAGCTGTTCTTTCCCTCATTTTTCCTCACTGTAATATCCTGCGGTGTATTCTTGCGTTCTGAATAAAGTTTGTAGGCAGTTGATTTGTTGAAGTTCGTGCTTATGGTATTGTTTAGAAACAATTTAAGCTTCAAGATCAAGCTATTTAGCTCAATAGGGTGAAACTCCACAATAATCGTCTCTCTGAATAGCAAATATTTCTCATCATCTCAAGACAGATGCCTTCATTCTTAAATGAATTATATGGACAAAGTTGCCTAAATGTTTAGACTTCGGCGAACTTATTTGAAATATTTGTGGACTTTATTTTCAGTTAATTTATTTTCTTAATTAAAGTTCTAAACGTCTTATCATTAAACATCTGTTAATTTTCTATCCAAACTTCGTTTCTCTTACACCAATGTTTTTCTTCATTCATGATCCTTTTTGCTGGTGATGTGCTGTGCAAACTGACAAACACGTGCACATAGTTCTACATTGTTGACTTCTTATAGTTGTTTGTCGTATAGGTTCACCTATTTGCACATCGTTTACGTGTTTTGTGAAAGGAAGTTTCTTAATTTTTGGTTGAACAAAGAAAGTCTTATTTGTAGAACCTAGAGACCTAAAGACATGTCGTTCTATGTTAATTAGAAGTATCTGAATTAATGTACCATCTAAGAATTGTCTGAATACACCAATTTAAGGTAGGTGGAACAAGATGAGCGCGCAATCAAGTACAAAGGAATCACCAGTTAGTAAAAATACTACATTCTGGTAAAATAAATGATTTTCAAAGCAGGTACACGATTATTTTGGTGAACTGCACGAAGAATGCCAGTTCGGTTATTTCGTAATAAAATTGAAATGTAAGGAATAAGTTTAATAACCCTATTCGGAGTCATAATTTGCCGGTTCATCCTCAATTTGCCTATTGCATTTACCGAAACCTTGTAACCGTCATAGATCATAAGTTAATTTCGATTTTTAATTTTTTTCTCTTGTAAAACACGTATCTTACTTATCAAGTGTTTTAAACATGTGTAGTCTCCGCACTACATAAACTAAAGCTTTTATTTTGGACCAATTCATGACTATTATTATCCTTATTATTAATGGCCTTATTCAATATTATATACGTTATAGACTACGTTGTCCGAAAAAATCTCGAATTCCCTATTCGTTTTAAAGCCCTTAAAATAACTATTTACTACATCAATCAGCGAATAAAGAACATAATTTTTATTGCTGTCTTTTGTCTACTGATTATAAAAGCCTTTTATTTCAGTTAGAGGTCTTTCAAGCAATAAACAATCCACCCAAATGTTTCATACTATTTAGACTGGTGCACGCAAATCCCCATTTGTTTCGAAGTTCGTGGACAAAATTCCAGTGAAAACAATGAAAGATGTTTTTGAATATGGCTTAAATACTTCAAGTAAATTCACTTATTCAACTACATGTTGATTATCGTTTGTTCCTAAAGAGTTTTAACTAGGAAAATATATTTAGTGCAATCATAACGTACTAAAACCTTATCACTCTTTCGCTATTGATACACAATAGCAAGACGGTTTAGTTATGAATATCTAATCAGCTTTCTAGAAATCATTAAGAGAATCTTGAAACGAAAGATATCAATGCCAATTGTTCATATATATATATATATATATATATATATATATATATATATATATATATATATATATATATATATATATATATATATTTATTTATTTATTTATTTATTTATTTATTTATTTAAACTAGTTGTCCTCAATATTGTACACGGGGAATATTTTATTCTTACTTCGAATATTTTTTAAAGTAGCAATAATCGTTAGGAGTAACTGATTGCGGTCTTTCACTTCTTTTAGAATATAGGCTTTCTAGTTGATCGTCGTAAGACCCTAAACGAGTAGCTTGAAAGAAGATAAGAGTGACGTTGCTCCATTTTATTATTATTCTCAAGCAAATCTTGGACATCGTATCTGTTCCCTGACTATTACCTTTTTTGTCATTTCGTGTCTAATTTCTTCGGATTTGAAATTTCCATTAAGTTAGTCAATATCTGTATCTGAAATCCAAGTTTTACTTGAAAATAAAATCACGCGAAATTCCTTCACCTCAGATGAGAAAGCACAAGCTTAGTAGGTTTAACTAAGACCCACATTTTCACCAGCCGAAATTTCCTCAACACAGTCAAACCTAACTAACAGTAAATGATGACAAGTAAAATATTGAATTTCTTAAATCCATTTTCATTACTTAGCATTTATCAGTCTATTTATTTTCATAAACTTTATTTATAGACTTCCAAAAATATTTTCATACGCTATATTATTGTAATTACAGTGAAAAATTTCGTAGGCTTGAGTTTTTATGATATCCGTTTTTAATATGATTTCGAAATGCTCACTTACAGGGTTTTATCCATGTCTAAGAATACGACTCCCTTCCAAAAATAAATACTCATGGCTCATTTACAACGAGGTAAGTGAATTTGGATTATGCTTATGTTTTTCAGGTAGATAAAAAAATAAAAGCTATTGGGTCAGCTCTTGTGAAAACTGTGAGACAAAGACGTAATGCTGAAAACTTTGTGGGAATCTATGGACCGAACTCACCCGAGGTGATTATAATTGCTGTTTGATTTTAAACTAGCGACTGGCTGGTTGTTAAAGCTATTATCCCGGATACTGATAGGAATTTATTACTGAACTATGATAGGTCATTAGTGAAGTTGAGATGTACAATAAATCACGAGTCTCGTTCTTTTAAGCTGATTAGTCGGATATATATAGTGCATTTATTCTGTGCATACGTCATCCTGTGGTTTTTACTCATCTGTCAATTCCTATATCAAATAATAGAAGATTTTGGTGCACAAAGCGCATGTAACTGATATCATATTTGTTCCTCGACATCGATATTCCAAATCTTGTCCTCTTTTTTCACTCAAATACAGTTCCAAATAAATAATATTTTAACTATTGGAGTTATGGTCATGATTTCTATACATTTCATAATAATCATCTAAATTTTAGTGCCCAATATACCTACTAGTCTTTTATGATCAATAAAAATCCTATTTTTAATGAATAAGTGTCAGTTGATAATAAAGAGGACAAAGTTGGTCACTTTCTAAGTTTTGATGCCAAGCTAGTTCTCACTTCTAATGATAAAATAAAATAGAAGTGATCTTGTTCGTGTACTTATGGTGTTTTTCTTGTAGATCAATATGGGAATGCTATTAAATCAGCATATAGTCGGTAACCATTTCCAGAATCTATCACCATTATAAATGTTGCTTTCTAACAAATTTACTCAATTATTCTCTGGAATTAGGCAGAACACTAATGCTTATAACCTTATAGGACGGATAATCTGAGAAAAACTAGGGAAGTCTAGTGAACAAAGTACTTTCATTAACAGTTCATTAATTAATTATTGAAACAAAGTAAAGTGAAGTCTTTGAGTAGTATAGCAGAGAACATTCAAGTGATTAGCAATGCTTTTGCAGTTATCCAAACTGGTTCTTCATCACTTTGTCCTAAAGGTAACTTATCATATAACTCTTTTAAAGGTTTGGTAGTTGAAATGATTGGGCTATTTTGGGATGTTTTGTGTTATACACTCAGTTTCTATGTCAGTACATCATAAAACCTAGCAGGAATTTTAAAAATCAAAACATGTAATACATCAAGCATGTGATTTCCCTGTTTGAACGCTTTTATATTGTTGTATTTCTTTATGTTTGAACTTGATAAAGGAAAAACATTGTCAAGGCTTTTGTGTGTATTTTATAGAAGTGTATTTAATTTAAACCAAGTGTATGAGATTTTTTAATAGTTTGTCTAAAATTCGAATGTTCTAGGCTGAACGTAACGATACCCAATGAGCATAAAGTGCTCTGGAGGTGATACCTTTGTGCACAACAAAAACCCGAACCTGTTATTTGGTTCCATAAAGATTCAAATAGATTGTTTACTAATTACATATTTTGTTATGATCATTATTCCTTCTATTATCCAGTGGGTTATTATGCAACATGCATGCGCTGCATATGGTTATACTATTGTACCCATCTACCCTACGTTTGGTAATGAAGCAATACAACATATTTTATCTCAAAGTGAGCTTTTTCATTTCACTGAGTTAATTCTCACTTTTTATTTGACAATATTTTTTCTAGACTAAATATTATGTATCTGTATGAGATTAAGTTTTACATAAGCTTTTCTATGTCACAAGATCACTATAAAAGTTAAAAGGAACATGGTAATATTCAGCAGGATTAAAGGATGATCAAATAACATAGAGATACTTAGGCATAGGCTACATGTTCACTTGTTTTTAATATATAACAATAATCTGATAATCATCAGTTAGATATTATAATCTTTATTAATTTTCAGAGGAAACGTTTCTAATTGAGTACCGTGTTACATTTTGCACTATTTGCTAGCTTACTAATTATAAACACTGATCTTAGTAACTTCTGGAAATAAAATACTTGGTATACATTAAGTACGAAATAAAAAATCAAATAAATATTGTTTTTAAGGACGTGATACGTAATTTTGAAACTTTCATTCTTATTCAAATTAATGTTAACTGAAATTTCCTACACATATTATTCTATTTTGATATGCCGTAAAGTCACTGTTGTAGACAAAAAAGAACATGAAAAATTCTATCATTAGTGATCAGTCTTATTACAATTTGATTTTAGCACAAGTGAATTGTATGCTGTGTAATTCAGGAACTGAAGCTCTTCATCTGCTGGACAAGTTCGAATCTTCTCTTGAATATTTAATCATTGTTTCATATGATGTTAAAGTTGAAGAAGTTAAATCTCGTCACGGCTCAAAAGTCTCTGTGTACTTGTTTGAGGATTTTATGGTAAGTACATTAAAAAATACTCCTTTAACGAGTAGACATATAAATGTCAAGAATTAAAGTTTTGTTGAACTTTTCTCTCAGTTTCTACACCTTTATCTATCTAATTCGTATTCTACCCATAAAAGTTAAAATATCCCTGTTCAATAATCTCATTACTTGCACAAATTAATCATGACAAGGAGAAAAATCCGTAGAATAGTTTGAACTTATTACTACTTAAGATTTAATTTAAAAATATTATGAATTCTTAACAGAGTGAGTTCTACTTTTGGTCTTGTTTTATAAACCTTTTCACATGTATAAAGTTTGCTGCGCAATTCACTATCTAACTTAATATCCAATGACTTATGAAGTGGAATTATGTTTGAAGAAAGGTGTAAACTTCCTAAATCAAGCGTTACAATTATTTCGGATCCTTTCCTAATCTTGAAAATCTGATTCCTGTTGTCTTGTTTGCTGGCTTTACATTTACGTTTTATTTTAATGCAAAAATGATCGAGCCGGTGCCCAAGATGCACCTTTAATATATATATTTAATACCATTTTTGACCGTATTAATCAGTAAAGAAATCGGAAAAGGAAACACCTGAACCATAACTACGTTTCTAACAAAGAAATCTAGTTTTATGAAAATATGCTCATGTAGTTAGTTCTTTTTGCTCTCACGTAGTCAAGTTAACACATGGCGATGAGATAAATTATGCAGTCTGATGTAAGTAATCTATGCCCATAACTTGGTTCTCACCTATAAACTTAACAACAGTTTGATTTCAGATTTTTCTTCATTGTTTATTATCTTAACCACTATAATATCGAGGAGTTCATTAGTGAAGACTCTAAAATTGCTCAGTAGTCTTCAAGTGCTTCATTTGCTTATATCAAAATTATTCGGTTGTTCAAAACTTTAATGGTCACTTGAAACACCTCTCATAAGTGGTTAATGTCAAGATAAACTACTAAAACTTCTATTGAACAACCACTCATAAAATGAAAATAAATTCCTAGCTGTCACTTGAGGTGATATTCACCCCTCAGAACAAATTGAATTTGTTCAAGAATTTTTCAATTTTTATAACTTTTTCTCCACGTGATATCAATTTCATTCAAACCACTTCAAATTTTATTGGTCTTCATGTTGACCATGCAAAATTTACGATTTTTGTTAAAACTAATCATACTCCTTAATAAACAATCAAATTACAGAATAGTCACCTAGATTTTTGCATTATTTTGCTTCAGAACTTATGTTCATGACTATATGCGTTCATTATCCAAAGGTTGCTTTTAGTATAAACAGTCAACATTGTAGTTGAAAAATATAGATCTTGCCGAAACTAGGATCATTTTATCAACACTCTCTCGTCATATCATAATGTTTCAGGAACTGGGAATGAATAAACTTTTACCAAAGAAAGTAAGTTTTCATATTTTCTTAACTTATTCACTTCAAATGTGTGTCACTGTCCCACCTATCATAAACTATAGTCGAAAATTGGATGCACCTGCTGTGTTTGGTACTTGTACAGTATTCTGTGGATTTTGTTGAGTTAAAAAACACCATAAATTGCAGCATAATTTACCAATTCAAACTACTTTTCTTAATTTGGATTCAGAATATGAATTTCCAAATGTTGATTTTTGTCTGCTTACACGTCAACTAGTTTTATTTAACAAATTTTGTATAACTTCGTTTTGATTAAGAAATTTATTTCTAAGTGGGGGCTGAAAAATTGGCCTAATATCTTTTGTTTTATCCATTTCTCACTTAGAATGCAAATAGACCTACATATCTTGATACTTTGTTTTAATGAAAAAGTAAAACACTAACCCAACTTTGTATATTTTTCGTTCCTCATCTTGACCATGATTTCACCGAAAAATAAGTAAAAACTCAGATTAAAATTATTTGAAAACCTATAGTAATATAAAATCCTGTCATTAAGGTTGATTGGGTAAATGAAGTTAATTTTGATGAAGACATGCATGAGCCTGAAGTTATATATATATATATATATATATATATATATATATATATATATATATATATATATATATATATATATATATATATATATATATATATATATATGAATTTATAGTGGGCTGTTAGAAAAGCGACGAAGGATTAATAAATGTCTTTTGTCTATAAATCTTTCAAATAGTTGATTTTGTCGATCTGTGTCTTCACTGCTCATACCAATACCAATTCAACAATAAACAGTTTTACTCAAAAAGTTTTATTGAGAATTATGTCATATCTAGAAATCCTTTGAAACTAACACATTTTATCGTTTTAGTCTGCTTGTTGTAATCGCTCATTTTTACTTTGCTAGTATAACTGATTTGTTCTAGTGCCTTTCAATCGATTTTAAATATTCTGAGAAAGATTCATAGAAAATTTTATTTTGTTAAAACATTTGCTTTCAAATATCGTTTACATGAAAGTTATGAATACTAAAAGTTACCTCATATTATTTAGTCTTATCATCTATCGTATTATCTGATAAAGGTTTCAGTTCCAGATGATTATGAATATATTTGTGAAACTGATTGACAGATTTTAAACACTTACAACAAACCGATTCCAACCTGCTCAGCAATTCATTGGTTTAACTGAATAATACACTGGATATATCTGTTTGTGTTATTCCGGATTATTCAGTCTTAATATAAACAGCGTAAATACATAATTTATATGATTATAATATCCCTTTTAATATTTTATCTCTTGCCAGTCAATGATTAGGCTGTTTTTGCTCAAATTAAGTTTTCGTATTGAAAGGGTTTCATAAGTAATTCTTTATTTTAAAGGATCCATTACCATCTGACCTCTACATGGTTTGCTATACTAGTGGAAGCACCGGTAAGCGTTAGTTTCACTTCAACATTCATGCTGTTTGGGTGTATTTCAAATAGTAATTTATTAATTTTTCCAACTAGAACATAACTTTTTTTCTTTGTTCCTCCGTTGGTTCACTAAGGAAATACTTATATGATAATTTCGCTAACCACAGATCTTCGTTTGTATACTGACATATGAGTTATAATTTAGTCTACAGTCATAACGAATTAGGAAACTCGTTACAGATAAATTTCAGCTCTACTAATGTCCTACATTATTGCCACATAATATGATAAATCATTATTCCTTCCTTTTCCTGTAACTCTTCAGCCAGCGTACTTCAGCTCAGATCAAATAAAAATTTAAACGCAAAATATATTCCAAATTGAAAGCCAGATTATGTATGAAAAATAAAAACACATGCACTTATTCCAGAAACGTACAGACATCTATTACACGGGACCGAATTGTAATAACTTTGTCATCTGTAAATGTTAATGACCGCTGACATGTTGAGTAACAATGAATCAGCTCGTACAAACCATGTTCTAAGGAACATGTGGAGTTAATATGTTAAGAGTCAAGTTTCCTTTTATTTCTTCGACTGGTGGTTTTAAAAGTTGATGAAAGCAGTATTTGTAATAGATATATATTTATTAGGTTTGGTGAAATAATCTTTTTATTCTAGTTATTTGATAGAAGTAATTTTATCACTTATTTTTTGTAATTTGCAAACTAACATTTTGTCAACTTATTGTCGTGTGTAGGATTACCTAAAGGAGTTATGGTTAATCATGAACAGATTGTGGATGCTGTATTTTCCATACTAGAAGCTTCAGAAAACAAGGTAAACCTTTACCATTTACGCTTCATTGGAGTTCAAGAGCGAACATTTATCAAATAGATTTTCCAATCCTTACATAGGTAAAAAAGATTTTAACGGTGAACGTAATTTATTCTAACCATACAGCAACATATTTCTATCGTCTCAATTTAAATCGTTATCTTTTACTCCTATTTCTTACATTAGATTTATATCACTGACAGCTGGGACCATTAAACTTTTATGTAAGAGACTACTTCCGTATCTTTTGAAGCCTTTACAACCTTAAAAAGAAACGTGACGAGCGTTTTTATTTTTGCCTAAAATTTTCGTACTATTTAGGTACAAGTTAACATATATGGTTTGATATTTATTTAATGGATGACTGTTCGTTTTGTTGTTTCTCCCAGCTCATCAAATCCAATTCAAGTCATCTTTCATATCTTCCATTGGCGCATATGATGGAACAAATACTCTCGGTAAGCTATCTGATTTACGCTTCGTTAATTGCTGACATTATTATTATGCGTTTTTGTATATTAACGGTCAAGTACATCAATTTTATGTCGTAATTATAAATTTTTTCTCCCTACGAACTGTATAAAAAAATCAACAAATGAACTGATGAAAATTGATTATCTTGATAATTTTGTTCAGAAGTGTATCTTCAAAACCATCAATAAAGCTAAACAATCTACTATTAATGGGAATTTTAGTATTTTAAGCTAAATTTGAGAAACTTTTTCACAGGTAAACCGCCAGAGTTTTTTTGTGAAGAGAAACGTCATGCATGCTGATTTCCAAAGCAAGAAATGGTGGCGATTAGTTAACTTTCTTATGAGGTCATAGGTTCACATTTTTAAGTAATTTCAAACTCGTTCATCCAGTGATTTTTAGTTGTCATTGATTATTCAAGTGATACCTGCCTGCGATGTAAACTATAAAGTAAACAAAATTGCACAAACAGTTTGTCGAGTTAAAAGATAAGTTTTCATACAACAGAAAGGACTTTACGGCCACTATGTTAGGTGAAGCTTTGATATAGCATGTGCTTGATAATTTAGGACTGTTCTTGTTTGTTGGGCCTAAACAGTTTTCTTTAAATTCAAATATTGTGAGTCAATATTAATTTTCTAATAACCAATGACGCCTTTTTTAAGTGGAGTAATTCCGACTACGATCATCTCATACGGCTTGAAAGCAACTCTCTTACGACAAGGACTAATGCTTCTTTAAGTATGTTCTAGTAATTTTCTATAGATTTTAAAACAATTATTTAGAGTTTTGGAACAAAACATATGTTGGATCAAATCACTGGTTTACTTTGTTTACAATCTTTACTTTTTTGTAGTTTCATTGAGCAATTTTATCGACATATTTTTCTTCTCGAACGATTATCTCACTTTCTTGTAGTCCTATTATATTATGATGGGAGCCCGTCTGGGATTTCTAACTGATTCTATTGATAATCTGGTGGTAGACGCACAAGCTTTGAAACCAGGTGTGATAACAGCAGTTCCACGAGTACTTTCTAGTATTTACACTAAATATCAGAAATCATTGGATGATTCCAAAATCAAAAGACAACTTTACAATCGGATTGTGAAGATTAAAATGGTTGAACAAAAACGGTATACGGTTTTACTTTAAAACTTCACTGACTAACATTTCATAGCTTTAAAAAAGAATCCGTAGCATTTTTCACAGTCCAATGTGTATCAAGGCACACTGAGTGATTTGAGACGTTAAAGCATAGAGCCAAACGAAATAGTTCTTATATGGTATGGTTCGAAATATAACGATTAACTACATTTGGAAACACTCTTTGCTTCCCATACTCGAAGCAAAAGCGATAAATAATATGAGGTTTTTCTGTTTAGTGTATAAAACAATTTGACATAAATTAACTGATTTCTGATTAACTAAGACACAAACGAGTCAAAATTGTATCAATCTTATTTAGGAACTATACATTGGATCTATATTACGAAGCAAAGAAATGTAATGAAAGAACGAAAAATTTCAAGGACTATGAAAACTCAAGAACCCGTGAATTTTCTTTAATACAACTAAATTTCAATCTTAGTCCTTCAAATCCTTTTGTTTTTATAGGTCACATCGATTTAGCTGGTTTACTATAAGTCTGCCATAAATCACTCAAATCTAAACATTACTTTATACCTAAAGGTTTGCATCCCGTCATTTAGTATATAAAATTTTCTGTTTTATTGAAATCGTTGAGAATCACATGGTAAACTAGCTGAAACATTCAATATAAGTCTAACTGAAAAGCATTTTTTGGACTTATCAGACAAATATAATTATTAAACTGGCCAAAAAAGAGTGAGAAAAAATGAATGAATATTTAGGCCTTTTGAATAAGACATATCTCTGCTAATTGCATTAAAGACTATTGCCACTGTTTTATGTCAGCGAATTACCTGCTTAGATACTAGCTTTGTTTGACAAAAATGTAGTAATTGAAACGTAGAAGCAGCTGAACGTTTTTTATCTAGTTGATATAGATGCTTTTTTTAACAACAAATTCAAAATAAAGATTTCACTATATTAAACTTTTAACTAGTAATTTATAATTTCTGTTCATTTTAGTGGAAAATTCTATCATAATAGTATCTTGGATACGTTATGCTTTAAGAAAGTTAGGAAGTTATTAGGTGGACGTGTATATTGTGTTGTCAGCGGAGGTGCTCCATTACCAACGGAGATATCAAAGTTTGTACATGCTGCATTTGGCTTGGTAAGCTAGTTTCTGTTCTCTCTGTTGTTGGAATGCTTCCCAAAAATGCAATCGCTCATTTATATATGCAATTACTGGAACATTTTTATTGGCGATAATTTGCATTTTTGTAATAATTTATTCATTGATTATCAGTCTTCAATATAAATAGGAACTTTTATTACTTTAACTGACACTCACTTAACTGACCATTTTCATGCATTTATCTCCATGAGGAAAGAAAAAAACCATAACAGTCAAAATACTTCCAAATTCACCTACAGACCTAACTTAACACATGAAATCAAATTAATCATATCGAAACAATAAAATGAAGGGATTACCTAGACTTAACTTAAGATTTAACTATACAACAATATTCAAAGTTCCCTATTTTCATCATTAAATTTAAACAAGTAGTAAAAATCTTATTACGTTTGAAAATCATTTTCTTGTCAACTGCATTTTGAGTAAATTATTTAACGATTTATTTTTTCTAGAAGAAGAGGCTGCTGATTTAAAATATAGTGTGCTTTATTTATAAATTATTAATGAAGCTAACTACATACCAACTGCTTTCAGTATAAAAATACTAAGATTGAAGTTCTTTGTAAAGAAACAATTCAGCAGCAATAGTTATCAGAGACTTTATGAGATGTTATTTCTCATTGTTGAAGGACACGTTTATAATTTTTTATTAGCTTATTACATTGCTTATTATCAATTAAATGAAATAAATAATTCCATGTTTTCTCTTATTTTTTCCAATCTAATGATGAACTTTCAATTCGAATGTTTGTTTCATATTTTTCCTACAAAAGCTTGCTGAGGGGTATGGATCAACAGAAACAATGGGGAGCATAACTATTACTTTAGTTGGAGAGTACCGTTTAGGTACCGTAGGTTCTGTCGCACATGGTGTAGAAGTGAAACTTGTTGATGTAAAAGAGCTGGGTTTAGATGCACTGCGAGATCAAAGAGGAGAAGTAAGATACAAGTAATGGTTAAAATTCTGTAATATGCATCCTTTAACATCTCGGTTCCAGTAAACTTTGACTATAGTATATAACTGATTTCAGTGAATAGGTTTCATTCATAGCTAACAGGCAAAATCAAGAGAAAACATTCATGAACCTATCAACGGCTACATTTTCTTAGATTACATTTATGTAGAATAAAAATACGTTCACGATTGTGACCTTGTGAATATATAGATCCGTTTATTAGTACTTGACAAATCTAGCCAATAATCGGACTTGAATGTTTTATTTAACTTCATAATGTAACTAATCTATTATAAATAGATATAACAGACTTTGTTATCATTATTTGGATCTTGTAGCCTCTTTTTAGAAAGATTGATCAGTTCTAAAGTTGGTGGTTATCACCGGTTGACACTGGCTAGAAAATTAATTACAACGTAGAAGTAATAATCAGCTTCTTCATCCAATTTTAAACTGTAGATCATTACCCGATTGATGGTGCAACGTTTTATAGTAAGAAAAAGCCATTCTCATGAAAGATATATCAGGAATTTTTCATCTGATAACAATTCAAGATAGAAATTGAATACAAATATTTCGGGATTTTTTTCAGTCTAGCTTCCTTAAAAAACCTACAAGTTATTTTTAAAATTACTTGTAGATCTGCGTGAAAGGTAAACGATGCACAAAAGGCTATTATAAAGAACCAGAAAAATCCGCCGAACTTATTGACAATGAAGGATGGTTACATACTGGGGATATCGGTGAATGGACACTAGTAAGTTCGACGATTTAATTTAATATGTTTTGTTTAATTGTTCTGTTTAGAGATACAAATCAGTTTTGTTCGAACAGTGCATGTCGATGCACAATAATCTAAATACAACACCTTTGTAAGACGATTATTCTAAACTAAATTTTCACGTTCTGCTAAACGAACTTTATTTTCGGAACAGTTTTTAGAAAGATAAAATTCAATTCATTTTAAAATATTATATGCATGGATTGTGACTATGGATGAAATTATTGACTGAGTAGTACCAAAGAGTTTTCAGTGATATAAACTGAAATTCATAGATTAGATTAAAGAAAATTCCGTGCAGGACTGTATTGGGACACGCTATTTCGCCATTCCTTGACCAATCAGAGCTAGCGGATACTTGGAGAAGACTCTAGAATCTCCTTATGAAAAATTGCAAATACATTAACGTGTTTTCTATTGTAATTCCTACGTCTATCCAACCTTGTTTATTTGGAATATAAGTATATTTCTATGTAACCGTGTTCTAATTCGAGGACTTGTCGAGTGAAGTAATGTCCAAAAATACTAAGTAATGAGGGGACATCAAAACATCTAAATACAATGTTATCATGTTAAAACCTTGTTAGACCATCATATTCTATTTTCTGTCATACTTCAACCAACTACGAGGAATCATTAATATATCTATTAATTTTCACGTTAGGAGGGTTCGTTGAAAATTGTGGACCGTCTAAAAAGCATATTCAAATTGGCTCAAGGTGAATACGTTGCACCGGAAAAAGTGGAAATGGTTTATCAATGCTGTAAATTAGTAAGCCAGATTTTCGTGGACGGTAATAGTAAACAAAATTACCCTGTTGCTATCGTGGTTCCCGATTTTACCGAGTTACGTTCTTGCTTAAACAACGCAGGAGTACTACATTGCTCAAAACTTTCGGACCATGAACTTTCGCAGAACAAAGTTGTAAATAAATTTGTCCTAGAAAGGATGAATGCTGTCGCTGATGAAAATATGCTGAAAAGTTTTGAAAAGGTGTGAATGACGTTTTGATACAAAATTTTACGAAAGATATACCCTAAAACAAGTATTTTACTCGATTTCATATATGTTGGTAAATGTAAAACAGTAATTGTGCTACACAATTTGATTTTAAGCAAGTTGTTTGGTGAAGCTTTGAACTTGTATTAGGAGAAGCGAATGAAATATTTTTCACTTGTATGAATTTACTGCCTGCTAAACCAAGTAGAAATTCATAATTTCATTGGTTACTTGTAAGTGCATCTAACTCCTGTCGATTTTGTTTACAATTTCGACTTATCCTGGATTTGCATATCACCATTTGATTTTGTACTAATTCTTAAACTAATTCCTTTGAACAACGCGATAATAAGATTTTTAGTACGAAATATTCTGCGGATGTGATTAATGTCGTGCATGCATACCGGTAGATAAACCAGGATGAAGAATTCGAATGTGAATGTTGATTTCATTTTGCTGTGCTTATTTGGTATGACAAATATGGGATAACGCATACTTTTGCCAGGCTCTATGTTGATTATGCTTTACGGCACACAAGATCTCATATTTCTTGTCAGTCTATGCGCTTAAGTGGACTCCAGTGCAGAGCTTAATTTGATGAAATCGTTGACTACCGAGTGTGACCACTGACGTTTATAACACTACTTCCACATCTTTCTCTATTCTATTTTTTATTCGTATATAGGCCAATTTTCCAAAATACGTGTATACAAAAAAAAGAAAATTAACCCAAAAAAACTTTTACTGGTATTTTTAAATATTTCCAAATACATCAGTAGTTGGTTACTTGTTTAGTCATACGAAAAAAAATTTATCGAAGTAGGTTTTCTGAACAGCAGATTTTAGATAATTTTGTTGTGAGTAAAATAATAGGCGATACATCTGAATTTAATTTTAATTTCGCAATTATTTTACATAAATGACAAATAATTCAACAGCTTACCCATTTTGTACGAATCAACAGTAATATTTCTTTGACCCATGTCTTCCAAATTCTTTTATTTTCGACAGGTTCAGGCCATTTATTTGACAGATCAGGCATTTAACGCTGATAATGGTTTGCTAACTCCAACGATGAAATTAGCACGTATCAAAGCTCGAAGTTACTTTTCAAAGACAATAGATAGTTTATACCCCCAATCTTAGATTGTCCTTACCTCTTCTTCGAATTAAATTGGGTAGTCTCTAACTTTCGATACCATTTATAAATGAAACAAGTGTGTTAACGCCGGTATTTTTTCATGGGTGCTATAAGGCGGACTGTAATACTTTTGAACATAGCCATTGTTCTATGTTAGCCTTATGGTTATAGCATTATCTGGCTAACAATAATTGTTCTGTTGATTTTAATAATTCAAACTCATCATATTTTTCATATTCTGTTTTATTAAACCCATAAACACAAATGAATTGCAATTTTTATATTGATATTTTTTTGGCTTCCCCTTACTTTTGTTTAGAGGGTTTCACAGATTATCATCGTGTTCGTGTTACCTTAGAATTGAATAACTACTTTTGGAGCACTGGATAGATATTAATAATCTTTGATATTTTAAAATAGACTTTTTTATTGGTTTCTAGACATGAACAATGATACACTTTTGGTTTGTTGTCACTTTATGGTCTGTATAATGTCTCATACAAAATACGTTTTTGGCCAAAAGTTTCCAGAATGCATCTAAGTATTCCTGATGGATTTAACAACTGAGGAATGATGATAAATCGGATCAAACTGTGAAAGCCCTAAATTATTAACGTTAATATCTGTCAGTGTACCTTATTCTTTAAACGTTCATAAAAAAAAAGGTAAACGTTACTTCGTTGCTACCACCTTTTTTAGTCGTAAGCTTTACCGGATGAAAGGGAAACACATATTTGTTCCTCTACCTAAATCTTTGTCCGAAGAAACTATAGTTTAATTGAGTTATCCCTTTCAAGTTACCTAAATAGAAAGATAGGCATGAAATAGACTTCTTTTTGTTATCAAATCTCTTCTTTACCCGCTTAGTGCGATGTTTTCTGGACAGCACTCTCATTCTTGAAATCCAAGTCAAATAAAAATGTATGGTTAATAGACCTCTAAGTTACAAGTTTCAACTTACGAAGTCATTGTATTCAGTAACGTTTTCGAATTAGCATAATTTCCAGTATTATTATGAAGGTATTCACTTATTAGAAAGTGGGTAAAATATAAACAAGCATAGAAAAATATATATCAGCAATATTGACTCCCCATCTGATGCTGATTTTAAGTGAAAACTAACTTGAAATTCAATAGTCGTGACGAGCCTACAAAATTATCATCATAAAGCTTGCAGTCCAGTGAGACATAAAAAGATATTCCAAGAAGAATAAATGAAGAATATTTCTCTGAAATACAAAGGCTCATGATAAACGAAGGTTGTGTAGTAAGGAAATGCAGGGAACATCTTTCCCGTTGAAGGTCAGTAAACACCATGATGTTATGTGGGTCACCACGATGAGTTTAAAACGCCAATCATAAACCTAATAGAACTTTTCGTATTGTAGGTGATGGGGCTAATATAAGATTAAGCAATAGATGGTATGCTAAGGGTTTAGAGATTCATTTATTCTTTTTTCCAGCAGTCACTCATGATTATGATTCGTTTCAACTATATAAATCACACTTCATGCTATGTTTCACAATTGCCCTTTTTTCTCACTTTCTAGAATCTATTACTTTACTAAACGTTGTATACGATTAACTCTATCCGTCACAAAACTATCTAACATTTTTCTTTTTTCTTTTCATTTCTACTCTTTGAATCATTATTTATGTTTATTTCAGTAATTTACCCTTGATAACTTGTGTGCGAGGGATCCAACTTGTTGTGTTGACCTTTTTTTCATTTAAACCATACAGGTCGATCAACATTATGCTATCAAGAGTATTCACCTAAGCTACAAATCTGTATTTTAGTCTTGGTTGTAAATTTATGTGGACATTATAGCAAAAAAACGTTTTCTGTTAGAGATGTATGCGCTAAACGACTAGACTACAGGTTTTACAGATGTCAGATACATTGCTATAAGAGACAGCGCCTCTATTTGTCAGTCGAATTGTCTCTCTATTGATCATTAGGAAATTTTTAAGTACTAATATCATCCGCATAAAAACACGTTATCGATCTAAGATATTGAGTATTTTTATATAAAGCATTGATGGCTAAACTTATCATATATATCCTTTGCGGATGACACATTGATGAGATACAACAAGAAAAAAAGAGAAAAGGCTCGGCGAGCCCTGTTCGCACAAGTTAGCGATGTTGGATCTAAGCTGTGAATCAAGTTCATCAAGTCTCGTGTTAACACACATTGTAGCTCAGTTTGGTTAGAATACTTTTTTATATCTATGACTTATGGAGAACAACAATATGTTCCAAACAGCCACTTCCTTGTATGACCAACAAATCGAAACTTTCATAGCTTGATATTTCATATGACTACATATCCACTAATTAGGAACTAAATCTGTATGATAGAAACTGGGACTGAAAGTTACACAAAATTAATCATATTCAGACAATTCATAAATTTTTGTGCACACCCAGTATTTTAATTTATAGATTCATAGGGTGAAAATGAGCTGATATTCAACTATGATGGGATGACAGTGAGATGTTTGGTTAGCACAGAAATTACATTAAATCGTCGAGTATCAAAATATGAAACAAATATACTAATAAACATCATATGAATATTGCCAAGACACGAGAGTAAAGATATATGTGATATGTCAGAATTTTATTATATCTCTTGACTGTTTAGTAAAATTCCTACAACAAATTAATATCACATCACTTTTCGAATAACACTTCATTATTTTTTTATCACCAGTTTACTTTGCAACAAAACCTTGCTGTTTATAAATATGATTAAAAGACAATAATTTGTAGCTATATTTAGTTAGTGTTACTATCTTTCACACTTATTCGGTCTGGACATCTTAAGTCTTTTTGCACCTTATTGAGAGTAAAATACTTTATTTAAGTTGTAATATTGTTCTTTTGGTGGTACTACAACTAATGCACTGATTACCACACACAGACACACCGTACTTGTACATTTACTCGTTCTTAATTCCTTTATTTACTGCTCTATGGTCCACAACTTACTTAGATGATCACTTTTACGGTTTAATCTGTCAATCCTGATTTGAATTAAATGTTTGATTATTATATTTAAAACTGTCTATTTTGAATTATAAATTTTCACATTTTCAAATCTTTTCAAAATTTATAAATTTAGAAGCAACTTGTAGTTATTTATTAAAATTATTCAGTATTAATGTTTAGGATTTTTATGGGTGTCATAATATTGACTGAGTCATTTTTTGTTTTATTACGATCGTCTACCACCGGTTATGCACAATTTTTTCACAGCCCAGTGCACATTGATATATCGAAATTATTATAGATATACTCACTATTGCTATTAGACGAACTTAAGGTTTTTTACTATATAATTTTATGAAGTGTAAGTCCTGTATAAATTTCTATTTGTTAAGTTTTGATGATGTATGTTGTTGATTATCACAATAAAAATCAAGAAGGCAAAACTTTTGCCTATATGAATGATATGTAGAGTTTCTCTACAAACCGCTTACAATTATTATCATTGACTGATCTTACCAAGCTTGTAATCCAACAAACTACATGATTTTGAAAATTTTATTCGGCATTTTGCATTAAAGTCCAATTGCTTGACTAAAAAAGAAATGTATCTTTTCGAGAATGTCTCCCAGTGTGATACGGTCACCAGACATATTCAAATTCCATGTAATAAAAAACAGCACAATTTCATTGAATATCGCATTTACTATTTTATGCAAAATATCTTTGAAAGTTATTGAATTTCTGCATTCAAAGATGAATACTTAATGGGTATGAATTAAGGTGATTATGTGAACGGATCTACTTATGTTATGACGTGCATAGTCAAACGTTTATCCTGTTGCAAGAAGTGTATTTACGACCCAACAACGAGATAAAGAATGTGGCAAGATTATTTACCGGGTTCCTCAAAATGACATTCATATTTATTTGAATTATTTTATTAAAATTGTATATTTTCCACTTTTTAAACATTTTTTATAAGGAATTCGAAAACGCGAATTTATTAATTTGTTTACTTTGCCGTTCTATAACTTTACTTTTACTTAAAATATCAGCTATAAATATTAACCCTTTAAAAAACTAAATAACAAGAAATTTTCCTTTTAGCTTTAGCTTTTTAGCTTATATGTGTTTTGCCGTTTAATAGTGCTGTCAATATAGTGGTCAGTCTTATTTTTGATTAAAAAAGTGGTGAATGTTGACTCAAAAAACTTGATATTGGTTTACTGAATTTGTTGAATATGTCAGAATAAAGCTGTCTTAGCAAAATTTTTATTCACTCTCGTTAGGGTTGAAAGTAGACTTGGTTTTCTATTCTGGGTAAAACGCGAGAAATTTCAAATCACACAATATTCTATCACAGTCATCATTATGCATTTACCAGATTAATGGCTTCCCAAATTCGCGGAATCCATTTCGGAATGTGGATCACAGAAATAATAGTTATTTGGTTGAGATTTTGTTTGACATTGAAGTTCTATATGAAATGAAATACGCGAATAGAAAATGTTTGGTATCACAACCGTCTAAGACTGTTCCATAGTAGATTGATTGCATTTACTGTCAAATAGTTTATCGAGAAATTCTTGGAATCTTACCCTCAAATTTATTCACTTTATTATTCACGTATCTAAACAAGCTGAATTATGGGAATCACAACGAATGTGATCTATAATTAACAATAATTATTGTAGATAACCCTGATTAAATTAAACACTGTGATTCATACGTGAACTTGTTATATTGAATTGGAAGATGCACATCATTAGAAAAACTTCTCATGGACAATATACATACATCTGTTTCTAATATATTAAATGGTCAATATTTTCTCAAAGTAAAAATAATTTGAAACAAAATATACTGTGTGAACCAATATAAAAGTTTTACATTTATTTTTTTGCGAGTAAAACGTTTGAGAATAATCAGATTATCGTTCAGCAAAACATTTTGTTTTCACTTCAGAAATATTACAATGATAGACATAACAATAGTAGTAAATGACGAAAATTCATAGATTTAGGTGATATATCCAGATGATGTACACTGTGAAAGCTACTTCATAAAGTAACAAACTTTAGTTATCTGAACACTGAACTCAATGGAGATAACATTCTGTTGCAAAATCCATGTTATCTTTTCTTAATCCTATTGAATAGTTTTAAGCACAGCGTTTGCTATTACAAGTTTTGATTTAAATATACATTTAACTTTATTGATTTCATAGTGTAATAAGATAATATTTAACAACAAACTAAAATTTTCGGGTCAATTATTCTGGATATTTCAACTAGTTTTAAGAGAAACAAGGTTTACTGATAGAAAAACCCATTGATTTCAATCTTCATAATGGTAGTTTCTAGATAGTGAAATAGAGTGAACACAGAAATTCGCTAAGGAAGATAAGGTCATATCATTTTATTACTTCTTATTATCGAAAGACAATAAAATAAGAAGATTCGTCAGAATAGACCAATCAAGCACTGTACACCGAAATTAGCTAATTTCAAGCACTTATTAAATTACTTTCTACACTCTTTGGAACTAATGACTGTCTACTCTAAAGGGTTATTTCATCCTAACTGACAGAAATAACCTTCAACTTTTATTTTACTTTAGCTCATTAGTGCTTTAAAATTCCTAAAGGTTTCATACAATCATATGGAGTTGATGTGGACTTTAATTCTTTCTAATCTAGTAACTGGGTTTCAAAATGTTTTGATTGGTCTCTTTAGCTTACCCTTATTCATAACCATTCTACCTTCCTTTCATCCTATAAACCAAGTTGTGATGACTACTTATGTTCACCAAACAAGTTAAAAAAAACAAATTTTTGTGACAATTATTCACATTTTTTGGTAAATTTTGAACAGTAAATACATGAATAATTTGTGAAAAATATGCTTTTC